ATTTGACCATGAGCCAGTAATGTGACCTTGTGGCCAAGAAGGCCAGTGGCATCTTGGGGTGCATGAGGTAGAGTGGGGCCAGCAGGTCGAGGGAGGTTATCCTCCCCCTCTACTCTGCCCTGGGGAGGCTACATCTGGAGTGCTGTGTCTGTCCAGTTCTGGGCTCCCCAGTTCAAGAAAGACAAGGAACTACTGGAAAGAGTCCCGCGGAGGGCAACAAAGATGATGAGGGGACTGGAGCTTCTCCCTTATGAGGAAAGGCTGAGAGAGCTGGGTCTGTTCAGCCTGGAGAAGATTGAGAGGGGACCTGATCAATACTTATAAATACCTTAAGGGTGGGTGTCAAGAGGATGTGGTCAGATTCTTTTCAGTGATGCTCAGTGACAGGTTAAGGGGCAATGGGCACAAACTGAAACTCAGGAAGTTTTATCTTAATACCAGGAAGAACTTCTGTACTTTGAGGGTGGCAGAGCACTGGAACAGGCTGCCCAGAGAGGCTGGGGAGGCTCATTCTCTGGGGATATTTAAAACACGCCTGGCAACTTGCTGCAGGTAAACCTGCTTTGGCAGGGGGGCTGGACTAGGTGATCTCCAGAGGTCCCTTCCAACCTTGACCATTCTGTGATTCTGTGTTTCTCCTCTGTTCCAACTCGTGCCCTTTGCCTTTTGCTCTGTCCCTTGGCATGGCTGAACAGAGCTTGGCTCCATCCTGCCCACACCTTGCCCCTGCTGCAGGCTGTGGTGAGATCTCCTTTGTTTTCTTCTTCTGAAGAAATCCAACTCCAGTTCTCCTTGGGGACCTTGTGCTACAGCCCTCCACGGGACTCCCTCCAGCCCACCAATGCCTGTCGCGTCCCAGGAATCCCGGACTGGACTCAGGACCCAGGTGTGGTCCCCCAAATGCCAAACAGCAGGGAGGAAGCCCAGGGTGGGGTCAGCTTTCTTTGTCACAAGGACTCACCACCGAGACCCCCCCAAGGCCCCATCCTGCTACAGGGGATTATTCCAGCCCAGTCACCATACACTTGCCTACATATTGACCAACCACTGCCTGATTCGGGGGTTTCCTCCCTGGGCTGCAGATCAACATGCCCACAGGCCAAGGCAGGGCTGGCCTCTCACCTCTGCACCACGCGGCGGGACTCCAGGCTCTCGGCAGGGGTTGACTGCTGGAGTGCTGAGAAGCGGTTCAAGGTGCTCGTGGCTGGTCGCCCTGAATCAGATGCTGGGCGTGAAAAGAGGGGAATCTCAGAGTTCGGCACCTCCCCGGTACAGGAACCACCAGAAGAAGGATCCCCCACCTCCTGCCCTGTCCAACAGGGCCCAGCCAGTCTCTGCTTACCTGAATCTGCAGGCTTCGCACCAGACCCTCCGCTGCTGCCTTTTCCCCAGCTCAGTCGCCCGCCTGGCGCAAAGAGCTGGTTGTTGGAGTCGATGGATCCAGGCTGCAGGTGGAGAGACAGAGTCAGCTCTGAACTCCACACCAAAGCAGGATCTAGGCCAGACAGCTGGCTCAGCTGCCGACACTGCACCCCCCGCCTCACCTTGGGGATCTTT